AATCACTTTATTATTGTCTAATTGGACGACGATGACGACGCTGGAAGCGACTTAGAAAGCAAAAGGGCAAAACACTATTTTGTTGGTGCGCCAATGATGCAGAACTGTCAGCTAATTAAGCTCTTCTCACTTCCTCAGCCGGCCGGTCAACCGGTCAGCTCCTCCTCTACCGCTGCTCAACATCTCTCTAATCTTGATTAGGGTCCCAGGGAGACTTGCCAAGTCAATGCCGGTTGTTGAGGTGAGAGCTACTACTAGCTTCCAAGAGATCCCGTAGCAGTCATCTAGCAGTGCCCTACTGTCCACGATTGTGGAGACTGATGAATAAGTCCAAATCTTGCATGACGAGAGACGTGTCACACACTTGCACTTAATTTCTCTCTGTATCAAGGCGAGCGATCTGTACCATGTATACGAGTTGTTGCTCAACCCAAAATATCGGCAGCCGATCAATAATTCGCATTGACAAGCTAGCCAGGGCCAAGATAATAATTTCCTCAACCCCTGCCTTGTTGATCACATCATTGAAGTACAAACTACAAATTGTAGGCGAAATTTACAGATTGAAGTAACGACATATCCATCATGACTTGTATAATTTGAGAAACGCAAACTACTACAAGAAATATAATATTTGTCTCTTTTTGGGGAAGCCACTTCATAATTGTTACTTCTAGTTTACTTAACTGCCAACAACAGAACGAGAAACTAAAAATGTACTACTAGTAGTATCTTCAAGATCAATGCTATCATTGAGTCTGTCCACTACATCGGTCACTTCTTGTGAACTCAACGTCTGCAGTACAGGGAATTTTCAGTGACGAACTGACGACGTGATCAATTGTGTGAATGAGCATAATTTTGTTTGTAGTCACAGTTCACCGGCAGCCAGGAATCTGTCCCGATTCACCGTCTACCATTCACAAACACAAACTGTAAAACCATGCCAACCGCTGAAGTAGTGCTGAACACCTCAATCCTATGGTCACACACAATTACTCTCTGTATCAGAGGCGAGTGCTCTGTAGCATAAGTAGTTGCATGCCGAACCCAAGATACTGGCAGCCGATCAATATATAATGCGCATTGACCCAGCAAAACCAAAGTCTATTACCATGGATGATGATGGATTACTTACACGCAGGACGGGAGACACACCACATTTATTAGAACCACCCTGCAGCCAACCAGACGAGAGCGCTTAGCCGATCGAGTCCGCTGCATACGACAACGAGTCAACGACGACGACGAGTGACGAAACGCGGCGCGCGCACGCACACGGCGGAACAGGAACAGGCGGATCGCGTGACTCGCGTCGTCGTCATCGACGAAGGGGTAATTTGTCGGTGTGCGCCATTGACACGCAGGATTTTTCACCATTTCAGCTAGCGTGCCCTATAATGCTTAGGTGTTTAGTTCAGCGCAAAGTTTGGATTTTAGTTGAAATTAGAGATGATGTGACTGAAAAGTTGTGTGTATGACAGGTTGATGTGATGGAAAAGTACTGAAGTTTGGATCCAAACTTTGGATCTAAACCGGCATGGACTTGATCATGAGCTGTGTGCGAAGTTTCCCTGGATGTTTTTATTTCTTCCTTTTCCATTTTGCAAGTTTAAATCTGTCTGCTTTTCTGATATGAGAAAAGGGGAAGGCTGTCAGGCCTTTCTATTTTAAAAAAGAAGAAGAAATTCCCCGATTCAGGCTAGGAATTGATTCTGAGGTCCCAGAGGGACTCGCTAGTCTCCAAGTCCATGCCGGATTGCCGGTTGTTGAGATGAGAGCTAGCTTCCAGGATGTCTAGTAGCAATAAGCTTATCAGTGCAGTACTGTCATTGTGGAGACTGGTCAATGAGTGTCAAGTCTTGTATGATTGAGACATGTCAAATAGTAGTACATGATACCCATTCAACCGGGAGAATTTAGAGGTTGAGAGGAAAAGAGGGAGAGAAAAGGATGGGGAGGATGCGAGTGCACGCACTCTCCCTCATGCGCGCGAGTCGCCCGGTCCCTCGGCGGCCAATTCTATCTGAGCCTGTTACTCCATCTAAATACACAAAGATAATCTTACTAAAAGAAAGATAGATAGAAGCGTAGTTTGCTTTGTAGCTTTTGTAACTAATGAATCAATTCAACATCTCTTCTTTAAATTGCACAGCGGCCTCGATGAGACGGGACCGCGGCTGTCTCGATGAGACGGCGGCCGCGGGACGGCGGGCTGGATGCGGCAGCCTCGTTGCGGCGGCAGCCGCACCGGGGTCGATGCGATGGCGCCGTGGTGGGAGAACAGGCTCGATACGGCGGCGCCGGGGAAGCTTCGATGCAACCACGATGCGGCAGAATGGAAGAGAAGTGGGCGGCACAGACGAACTCCCTATTGGCCGAGTGGGCGGTCATTAGCACGGGCACCTCATTTTCATTAGACAATCCTACCCCTGTTAAACCAACAGTTAGATTAGATTGGTACCTGATGGTACCTCGTGGTACCTCCTTAAGGATGGGAAATATGCTCATAGCTAGATACATTTAGAGTGCGATCTATCTTACTTTTGGAATCAAGCAACCCCGTAATAGCTCACACTTGTTTGGAAATTGGTTAAGAGGTTTTGAATCTAAACTTAAAAGACAAACTTGGGTGGGCATAGCAACGATTTGTTGGGCTTTGTGGCTCAGTAGGAATGACTTAGTCTTTAATGGCTACAACCACGTATCTTTCTTGCAGGTAATTTTCAAAGCAACTCAGTTGGGAAGGCTTTGGTCTTTGCTTCTTAAGGAAGACGAAGGCATTGAAGTAATCGCGAAATGCAATCTTTTAGAGAAGCGTATGATGGAGCTTTTCTCTATCTTTGGGTGGAACTCTAGAAGAAGGATTGAAGCTTAGCTTTTAGTTCCTTTTGCTTGTTGTCTGTCTTTAAAAACTTTTTATGCTTTACCCATGTAATGGGAGAGTCTTATGTACTCATGTTTGTGACTTTTAGGCTGTCCTCACAAGGTGTAGAGGCTGGGTTTAATGTAATCCATTATCTAAAAAAACACACCCTTAGAGGTTTGAGAAGTATTGCACTAGCAATATTTACTCTGTTTTTTAGGTAATGTTGGAATTCTATTGATTAACTTGCATCATAACAGAGTGTTTCCCGGATACAGTCCGGAATCACAGAACGATAGACAGAACAAGAGAATTGCTCATAACAATGAGCCAAAGTGTGAGCCGCTACATTACAGCAGAGGCGTAGCTAGCTAGGTGGCACTGTGGGTCCTGGACCACTTAAAAATTTGATCGAGATTAAAACTATAGTATATGTAGTACTAGTTAATATAATAAAAATTTTATAGTGGACTACCCTTTTAATTGACCTATTATATATATAGATGGACCACTTTTACTCTAAATCCTATCTACGCCACTGCATTACAGAGACGGTTAACATGCATAAAAGAACAGGCTTGGAAACCAATTGCAATCTTCTTGATATCTTGGATCAGACACCCCACCCTTGATCGATCTCGAGATGGTGCCTAAATTCGCTGTATTGCTGACATGCAATCAGAGGCTACCAACACCTGCTGGAAACCCTCTTCTGTTGCCAGTACTAGTGCCCGACGAATAGCCAGTGCCTCAGCCATTTCAGGGAGGACGATGTTGTTCACTCGTTCGCTGCATGATTCAGTACAAGTAAGCAGATACCTGTGTGATCACGGATCTGATTCCCACTTGACGAGTAGATTGGAAAACTGCAGCATCGGTATTGATCATTACTGTTCCTTCCGGCGGTGGAATCCACCTTGGAATGGAGGAGGGGAGATTTGGAGCAATGTTGCATTATCATATCGACATAACCAAACACCTTCTGAGCCACGCGCCGAGGATGCAGGGCGCTAATCCCATTTCTTGCATTGTTCCTTGCTTCCCTGATATGCCAAAAAGTTACTATAAGGACAGTGTGTTGAAAGCTTGAATTCTGTTCCAGGAAGTCAAAAATCCAATTTCTCAAGTGCATGATCCCCCTTCTCTTCAATTTGATATCATATATCTGTTTAATTTCCTGCCAAACAGAGCTAGCAAAGGGGCATGAAAGAAAGACATGTTCCAACGTATCATCCCTATTACAGAAAACGTAGCCGTCATTAGAATCAATGTGACGCCTTCTCAGCTGGAAGCCAGTGGGCAAACAATCTTGGACTGCACGCCAGAGGTTTATCTTCATCTTCCCAGGTGCATTGATCTTCCACAGAGCTTTCCAGCTTTTCTGACTCTCCAGTAGAGAAGAAGGAAGTCCTCTCCCATTGTTACACTGTGAAGCAAGGAAAGTGTTAGACCGTGCCAAGTTATAAGCCGAGCGCACTGTGTAGGTGCCATGTTTGTCGTGTGGCCAGGACGTGAAGTCCTCGTCACCAAAACGATTGATAGGGATTTGAAGTATCTCATTGGCAATTAACCCCTTCCTCAAACAGTGCCTTGACAGTATCACTATCCTAGGCATTTGCTTCATCATTCATCAGGACTGCACCTTGGTATCTTCAGGAATTGGGATTAGAGTTTTCAGATGTCCCGCAACAACGCCGGGATCCAATTGTCAGTGAGGATATTAATTGAACTCCCATTGCCAACACCCCACCAAAAGCCCTTCTTCACCAAGTCCCAAGCTGAGTTAGCACTGTTGATTCGGGTTAAATTGTCACATTGGACAAAACCACCTGCTATACTACCATGAGACACATATTGCACCGGTTTCAACAGTTGAGGGACAGGGACCCATTGTATCCGGTATTTCGGTGCAGGAACGAAATCAAACTTGTTTTCAAGTTAAGGATCTATAAATGAACTTATTTATGGAACTGAAGGGAAACAAGGCCCAACATCTTATTGGGCGTAGAAGACAACTAGCACATCAGGTTTATGGCGTGAAATAGTGGGCCCATAACTACTCTACCGCGCGTCTCCAGCCCACACGGAGCCCGGCCCAACTAATTCACCTCGACGACCTCCTCCTCCTCGCCCAGCCGCCTTTCCTCCTCCTCCCCACCCCGCATCACTCGCCGCCGCTCCTAAACCCCTCGAAGAGAACCCCCTCCTCCCCTCGCGCCACCGCCGCCCGCATCCGCGCCGTCACCGGGAGGGAGAGCAGCAGCGGCGGAAGCAGGAGCAGCTCGCGCGAGAGAGGGAGGAAGCCATGGGAGGCGGCAGGAAGCGCGGGCGCACGCAGCGCCGCCACTTCAAGCAGGGGCGGGAGAACGTCTGGAAGCACAACCCGCAGCGCCCCCCGGCGGCTGGCGGCGAAGGAGCCGAAGGAGGCGCTGCCGAGGGGCGCGAAGGGAACCCCTCGTGGCAGCCCTTCGCCACCGAGAACCCAGCCTTCGAGGACTACTACAAGGTGCGGTTGCTTAATATTTTACTTTTTTTGGGTGTGATTTGGTTGTGTTAGTAAAAAAATTGAGCTGAGCTAGCGGCATCTCGGTTTTGATCGTATGGTCTCGCTCTAGGTATGTGTACTTCGTTTAGAATGTGATGATTTGTTGTCTTGTTGATTGCGGATATTATAGCTTTCAAGCAAGAAGCAACTGCTCTATTTTGATTGTGATGCTGAGTAGCGAGTACTGATCTCTAGACTTACCTTACGATAAGAGAAGCCTAACTGGACGCACTGCATTAGCTTATACTGTTGTTGCTTATTAGCTTAGTTTTTCAGTTGGATGCATAACTTCTGAATTAGAATGTTTATACATGTTTATGGCTTATAGGCACAGCAAATTATTCCGGAGGGAGAGTGGGACGACTTCATGAACATGCTCCGGAAACCGCTGCCAGCCACTTTCAGGATTAATGCGAGGTAATGTTGTTTTCATCTGAAGCAACATGACTCCATCCACATGTTTGGCCTAATGATTTATTGTTTGTTGGTCACATTGTATTGAATGGCAGTGCAGTTAGCTTGTTTATGACACTACCTTGATTATTGCAATATAGCAGCATCACATTTTAAAGAAAATCATTCCTTGAGTTCTGATGATTGTGTAATGTAGCTTTTCATGACCAAACAGCTTGCGATATTGCTCGAAATCACCAAGAAGGCAAAAATTCCTTGGTGGTGTTGTATATGTTCTGGGTGAAATATCTATAAGCTCTCAAAACTTTGTTCCAACAAAAATGAATCTGGGGGATTATCCTAGCTTATAAAAAGATATAGATATAGATTTTATACTGTTTTCTATACAATCAAAACTTTTAATCTTATCTTGCTAACTCTCTATTGCTGTTATTTAAACTCTAATCATATATAGGTTCTAGATATCTGCCTATTGTTTGAATTGATAAAAACCATGCTCTGTTTGAATAATCTTTTACTTGACTCCATATAACTTTCACTGTCCTTTTGTAAAAGAAAAGGACATTATCTCTATCCTGATTCTCCTGTTTTTTCCCTGCCATGGTTCATTCTTCAGATATAACCATCTCCAGTTCTATGTGCAATTGATCATATAGTTAGAACAAAAGCATTTGCATGAAATGCACTGGTGATTTTACTGATACCTTATCATGTCTGGTATCATTGCACATAACTAATTCTTGTTTTATGATGATTATTCTGTTCTAGTATGCTAATGTTGTCCTTACCTTTCCAGCTGTCAATTTTATCAAGATATTTGCTCACAGTTAGAAAATGACTTCAGGAAGTCATTGGAAACTGAGGTAGCTTCTATATTTTGTGCATAAATTTTAGTTATGTCCTTCACAATTCTATTTTGTAATCCTTTTTTTTTTTTTTGCATGGACAGGTTAGTGATGAGCATGAAGAAGATGCTATTCGGCCTTTGCCTTGGTACCCTGGCAATCTTGCATGGCATTTGAATTTTTCTCGAATGCAGCTGAGGAGAAACCAGGCACTTGAGGGGTATGCATAATGTTTATCTTGGGAGAATTGTGTCAACAATGCGCAGTATATAGGATGATTGTTTTTTAGGAGTGTGGTAAACTGATGTTTTTGTTACAATAAAACTCCCTTCACCTGGTTTTTGTCATCTCATGTATATACCATCATTACTAAATATCACCATAGCGTTAGCACGGGCACATTACTAGTTTGTGTAAATTGATGAATTTATTGAGAACATGGTTGCCCCTTAAATGATGAATTACTAACCAATTTATGGCTTTATAGATCAGTGATTGCCTTGAATTCTCTACTAAACCATCACCAAAAGTTCACCAAAACTTCTCAAATATTTGTGTTTGGCTTTTTGTTGCAGATTTAGTGTTATATCACTGTTAGCAGTTTTTCATAAGATTTTTTAGGGCTAGTTTCTTTTGAAAAAGAAACTGAAAAAAATTGCACTTAACAATTGCTGCCATTGAAACATTGGAGGCGCTCATTTAATATTCTATTGAGACATAATACTTTTTTGTAATATTTGTTTCCCTCTCCAGTTTTCATGAATTCTTGAAGCGAGAGAATGAAGTTGGCAATATAACTAGGCAAGAGGCTGTCAGCATGGTAAGTTCCTTATATATATTAAGATGAGCTATATGAGTATATTGTTTATTGATGATGGTCTATGTATATTGCGGATATTCTTCTTGTTAAAATGATATGTAATATTTTTACAGGTTCCTCCTTTGTTTCTGAATGTGCAACCTGATCATCATATTCTTGACAGTATGTATATCCACGTTCTTTTCCATCATTCCTCATATTGTGCTATTTATGCAGCTGGCTGTCTGTCTCTTGACCTGCATGTTTGACCTAACTTTGCTCTTCTGTAGTCCAGCTTGTAATGTTTAAAACTAATTGCTCAATAAAGCATCTGGCGCAATAGTTCCTAATAAAAGTTTATAAGTCTCAGGAACATGTTAATTTATTAGTACCAGTAAAAAGGAAAAAAATGAGAACACCAGAATACCCCGTAGTTATCATTTAGACCTAGCCTTTTCTGTTTGGCTTTAGCTTTATATCAGACTTAGCTTTTGAGGCATTTGAGCTTAAAAGTAGGTTACACATGGACTATTTGAAAATTTTATTTTTAGAGGAGGACTTCTCCAATATTGGTCTTGTGAATTTTTGTGGTATTATCCTATGCAGTGTGCGCTGCTCCAGGATCAAAGACCTTCCAGTTACTTGAGATGATCCATCAGTCTACAAAGCCTGGAATGCTTCCAAATGCCCTTGTATGTTTCACATTCTATTACACATATCTATAGTTTCTGGTAACGATAGAAAAAAAAACTTTGAATCAAAACCTTTTTTCTGATTTTGTGTTTCATACTTTGTACTCAGGTGGTAGCTAATGATGTTGATGTGCAAAGATGCAATCTTCTTATTCATCAGACAAAGAGAATGTGCACAGCCAACTTGATTGTGACGAATCATGAAGCACAGAACTTTCCTGGCTGTAATCTTGCAAAGTTTAGTTCAGAAACATGCACGGATGAGTCCAAACTGCAGAGGTTGGAATTTGATCGTGTATTGTGTGATGTGCCTTGTAGTGGTGATGGAACTGTGCGTAAAGCTCCTGATATGTGGAGAAAGTGGTAAGTAGTGAAATTTTTTAGCCGTGGTGCTACTGTCATCGTCTTCCCTATTTCCTTATCAATTTTATTTGCCACTCAGGAATGCTGGTATGGGGAATGGACTCCATCGTCTCCAAGTAGAAATTGCAATGCGCGGTAATGATTTGAAGAGGCTAAAACTATCATATGTTCCAATGAACTGTTAACTTTTTTCGCTATGTTGGACTTTTGTTTCTTGAAATGTAAATGTAACTAACCATTGTAAAGCAATTTTTATGTAGTTTTCTCCTCCTTAGACTTGTGATTTTATCAATTCACTATCTATTATTATATTCCGTATTTTACTATGAACCAGGTCCTTGTAGCTGTGGTGTGTCATTAAATGTTCCATGAACTGAGATTGATAAAATAGCTAACTGGTTAGTCTTATAAGTTCATTTACATACATGATAGCAAGATATGTGCATCTGGTATGGATTCCTTTTCAATTACCGATCATGTGTAATCAAGTATTAAATCAGCACAAATTTGATACTTTGTAATGTGTAACATGATACGTTAGTTGCTAATTGCCATCAATGCTATGCTACCTCAAGAGATTAAGATTCTTTGTTTTATTGTTCAGGTATTGGTTTGCTTAAAGTGGGTGGAAGGATTGTTTACTCAACATGTTCAATGAATCCTGTTGAAAATGAAGCAGTTGTCGCGGAGGTATTTTTTGTTGCTTGATTTAACTTTACTTCCTTTGCCCCTCTCTAATATTAATGTAGTAATGTTTGATTGATCAAATTATTTTTGTTGCCTTTTTCTTTGTCATACACTTATACTTGATGAGACCCTAAAATGTTTTCAGTGTGTCAAATCTACCATGGGAGTAACTTTTGTTGAGATTAGACCATCTAGGAATGTTCATTTTTCAAGTGTAGCACTTGTTTTCATGTCCTGTGTACCTTGTTGTGACATTGACCATATTTTTCATAACTAAATAGATTCTACGGAGATGTGGGGATTCTGTTGAACTTCTTGATGTTTCTAATGAGCTACCTGAATTAGTCAGGCGTCCTGGACTTAGCACCTGGAAGGTCAGTGTACATTTCTCTGAATCATGCATATTTCCTTGTATATTTTGTATCACTTTGCAATTTTGCATAATTAGCTGCGACTGTGATCTTCTGTGGCCTTAGAGCCAAAAAAGAAAAAAAAAAGTCACCCTAGGTTCACCCAATCTGCTGTAATGTGCTGAACTGCGATTACTACATGTTTTAATTATCAATATCATGGACACATGGTTCATCTTCCATTTATATGGTCTAGATTAGATCTGTCTGAGTTTTTCACTGGATAAAGTGGTGACTGAGTTTGCATTTACATGTAGCAATACACAACTATATCTTGAACATCTTTTTATTTACTGTTTTGATCAATGTTGCTACTTTGTTTGTTTTAGTAGTTTCTTAGATGTGATATGAAGAGTAGTGGATGGGTGTCCAATTTTGTAAATATTCTACTGTGCTTTTCAGTTTATGAAACTTGTGCAAGGACAATGGAGGTAGCAGCCATTGTTTTAGTTTTTTTGGAGTTATTTCTTAGTCAGAGTTGTTTGCATTCTGCTCTGTTGGTTTTGTTATTCTGTCACAGAAGTATTCTCCGTTGGGGGGCCCCTCTAAATTTGATATCCCACACTCTGGAGTATTTGATTCTTTTGCAGTTATTGCCTTCCTAACTGTTGCAGGTACGGGATAGAGGGTCTTGGTTTGGCACTCACGAAGATGTCCCTCGCTACAGAAAGAACGTGATATCACCAAGCATGTTTCCTTCAGGGAAGGGCACCATGGATAGCCATGTGGCTATTGGCAGTGTTGAGATCAACACAGATGTAATTGATGCTGATATGAAAGATTCAACAAACATGGTAGAGGGAGAACAAGAAACGAAAACAGCATCTGATGATGTCAATAATGGTGGTGATCCCAATACTGAAGAGACGAGCAAACTTGAGTCTAATGAAGTTCCAAACGACTCTGATAAAAAGTCAAATTCTACGTCTATCCGCACAGAACATTCAAATTTCCCTCTGCATCGCTGCATGAGAATTGTTCCGCATGATCAAAACAGTGGGGCATTTTTTATTGCAGTCCTTCAGAAAATCTCCCCTATTAATGGTAATCTTTAGGAATTTATTCCATGTATTTCATGACTTGTATCAAATTGCATAAACTTATTAGCCACTGCTTATTAATGTTCAAGTGTGCATACCTTAATATCTTTGGTTCTTTGCAGGGAACCAAGAGGCAGAACTTATAAAAGGCGAGCACAATATTTCAAAGGATAGGGCTGAGAAACTTGAGAAAGGTCTCGGATCAGATAAGGTGCCACATAAAGAAAATACCGTGCAGCAGCAAGGAGTTGATGATGGTAATGTTATGGATGAACAGCAAAATGGAGATGTGGATAATGAAACATCAAATGGTAAAAGCTCAGAGGAAGCTAAAGTAATTGTTAATGAGGCAGAAAATGATCAAGCAGGACCAAGAGATAGGAGGAGGAAGCCACAGAACCAAGGAAGGTGGAGAGGGGTTGATCCAGTGATATTTTTCAAAGATGAAGCTACAATAAGAAGTATAGTATCTTTCTATGGTATCAAGGATACATTTCCGCTTGAGGGTCACCTTGTGACTAGGAATCCTGATGCTGGCCATGTTAAAAGAATATACTACGTGTCAAAATCAGTGCAAGAAGTTTTGGAGCTCAATGTAAAAGTTGGTGAGCGGCTTAAGATTACCTCACTTGGCCTAAAGATATTTGTAAGTGTCTCCTTAATTTATGTTTTCTTTATCAATTTTAGCTTTTATCAGTGGGGCAAATGGCACGACACTAAGCTGTGATTCTTGCAATATCTTTCAGGAAAGACAGTCATCAAAGGATGGCTCACCATGCACATTTAGGTTGTCTTCAGAGGGTTTACCACTGCTGCTTCCATACATCACCAAACAGATTCTCTACGCTTCTGCAATTGACTTCCAGCACCTTTTACAATACAGAACTATTAAATTTCCTGATTTTGTGGATGCAAAATTCGGTGAAGAAGCTTCAGCTTTGTTGCCTGGTTGCTGTGTTGTAGTACTTTGGGAAGGTAACATCACATCCCACTTATAAGCTTTATAGAGAAACACCACAACTTGATGACAGCTAAACATGTTTGAAATATTTCAGGGCATCAGAACATAGATTCCATCGCCATGGATCCTTCTGCAATCGCCATTGTTTGCTGGAAAGGGAAGACCAATTTGTGCGTCATGGTTTCTCCCCTGGATGGGAAGGAGCTGCTTGAGAGGATTTGTTTACGTTATGGGCTCAAAATCCCCAAAGCGGATGATGTAAAACCCAGCATGAAGATTGATGGATCAGACGAGCAGCCTGATCTCAGCACTGAGGCAGTTGATCCAGAAGCTGTGCCCGAAAGCAAAGCATCTGACATGGAGATTGCAGATGCTAAAGAGGTGGAGTAATCCTGCTGAATGCTGATGCTATCCAAGGCCACATATTATAGCTGGATACAACATCGCCCCATCATTTGCCTACCGGTATTAGTTGAGCGATGAGCCGCCATTTTTCATTGATTCTGGCATTTACGCCGTTTTCCTGTTTGATTTATCATATTCTGTTTCTGAAGAATGGGTGAATGAACTCGCCCATTAGTGAAAGGGCACCACGTTGCTCTAAAGCCCATCTGTCCATGTCATCTGGTAATCGTGCACGTATTGCCCCCTCCATACTTCCGGCTGGCTCATCCACCTGTAACCTATCAGTATCAGCTTATTTTTCTTCGAAGAGAATGTATTACAGGGAGTCTTAACCTGAACTCTTGAACCTGATAAATTTTGATATGACAATATTTCAGACACATCCTCTTGACTAAATGCTTGTGGCTGTACGTCTTGTCGCTACCACGGACTGAACTGTCTGACCATGAATGCATTATCATTGTGACGTATCCATCAAGTCCATGCAGAACTCGTGCTTGAAAGTTAGAAACCTGTTACGGAGACATGAATGGATGTTAGAAAATTCTATGCAGAAACTTGAATAACGAGGAGGCAATGAGAATGGATAGAAAACCCAGAGGCTGTGAAGCTTGGATTCAGCATTTTTACCACTGAATCGGGTCTCGTACTGCCGCCGGCCAAGGCAGAAGAAAGATGCATGTACGTGCTGTTTACACCTCTCGGCGACGCAAAAAACCGGTGCCTGTCAGTTGTTTTGTTCCATTTGAGAGTTGACTAATTTATTGAAGGCCACAAGCAAGAAAAAACTGACGCACTGAAGCGTGGGAACTTTCTCAATATTTTGACCCTCGTGGGAACGCACAGTTATTGCTCCCCCTCCAGTCAAAGACATTGTTTATATTCCAGTCCAGTAAAAAAAAAGAGAGAATGTTTATACAGTTCTCCATCCAAGGAAGTTGTTTAGAACAGCGACACGGTATCCAAAACACAATTTTGACTTCTTATTTCTATAAAAATATTTATTGAAAAGTGATATATGTATACTTTTATGAAAGTATTTTTTCAAGACAAATCTATACATATAATTTTTACATTTCAAACTCAACAACTTAAGAGTTATTCATGATTTATATTCCTAAGGTTTGACTTAAATATTGTTCTAAACGACTTTCTTTGTGACTTATGAGTATGGAGGGAGTACCTTGAAACGTAATTTGGGTTGATTTGTATAAGAAATAAATGGAATTAAATTATTGCAGATGTGCCTTCTGAGATACGAATCTTCTCGTACTATTTTGGTGTGCCCACTTGAAATACTGTGTATTTGATGACTTATTGTTTACTGATGTCACTTTTAATTTGTGACTGTTTCCACAATTGCCACTAATTCGCCGTTAGACCTGTTCTCACTTTTGCCATTTGTGAAACAATGACAGTACGACACATCACACAATGACAGCCAAAACCTCCATGGGTCCACTTGAAATACTGAACTTATTTGACATTTTGTTTATTTATGCCGCTATTAGTACTACTGTTTCCACAAGTGCCAGCTAGGTTTTCACTGTCGTTAGACCACTTCTCACTTTCACCGTTTGTGAGAACAATGACCCATCACACTAGTGACAGATAGAAAAACAAAACGACTATATATATGCCTATATGGTGCATGATAGCCAAACAAAATCATTATTTTCGTGTGTTCACTTGAAATACTGAACATATCTGATTCTTTTTTACTTATGCTGCTATTAGTATTACTGTTTTCACACGTGCCACGCTGTGGTCTACCTTGTATCTCTTCTCCCTTTTGCCATTTGTGGATACAAAAATGATACATTCCACAAACCAGTGACACATACAAAAACAAAATCGTATATCCCCTACGTCGACGATGGCTGAAACTTTGACTGGAGAAGCTAGGTTAATTCAAACAAAAGCAATGTTGACAGGATCATGTCATCACGATCACAGCTCGGTAATTGCGGTCACAATTTTTACAACGTTAGTAATTACGGCATGCATACTCGTCAAGGCTGCCTTCCTTTCCCCTGACCTCAGACACAGTCGATCCCAACAACAACAGCAACGCAATCTGACCATCAAAGAAAATTTGTATCCTGACAGTGACTGAGTTTACCTACACACTGAATTTTTGGGATCGATGACCACCAGTATCCTTTAGTGCAGTGAAATTCTACTCCCTCCGTCCCCAAAAAAGACAAACTGTGGGTTCCCGTGCCAACGTTTGACTGTCCGTCTTATATGAAATTTTTTTATAATTAGTATTTTCATTGTTGTTAGATGATAAAACATGATTAATACTTTATGCTTGACTTATCTTTTTAAATTTTTTTATAATTTTTTTAAATAAGACGGACGGTGAAACGTTGGACACGGAAACCAGGTTTCTCTTTTTTGACGGAGGGAGTACGCACTTCCACGTTTTCACCGTCGCATCCACGTTATCTAATCAACGTCGTCGTCGACATCGTCGTCATCGTCGCGTGAAGCGGTGAAACACTGGGACCTGCAGACCGGTTGTTCATGGAAAGAGAAGGCCACGAAAAATCAGACGCCCGCGCGTGCTGCAAAAAAATCGCTGCACTGACGTCCATGAACGGTGCTGGTTTTTGTTCTTAGTGTTGATTTCTTGCTTGTGTTAGTCTTCACGGGAAACGTATAGACTTTGCCAAATGATGAAGCTAATTAGTTGTATGACGGTGAACAAAGTATATATTCTCCCATTTGTAGTTAGAAATTAATCACGCATCTAACTACCCTCTCTGCCTAGGAAACATTAGGTTAGATAGAATGTTGCAAAAAGTCTTTAGCCAGCTCGTTCACATGCATGCATGGAGATGCAAATTTCTGAATTCTGAAAAAAATAACATGCATGGAGATGCATGCGTACTGCGTGTAGTGTAGGCACCAGCTAAGGAAGGTATTGTACTCTGGAGTGATCTGATTGGACTGGAAGAACAGGGCAAGGGAGTATATATGATATGGAGTTGACAATGATCTATTAGTTAGGTTTTGATCGATGACAAATGAGCACATTATTACACCTAATTGATAATGCCATTTCATGAAGAAATAGTGAAGTCTTCTGACAAGACCAATTAGGAAATTGTCGATGAATATGGGACTAGTGATCCTACAAACTGGACTTTGAAAATGGAAGTGGGGGGTTTTGTATAAATAACTTATGAGTACATTGTGTAAATACTCCAGACATCCGTCGAAAAATATGATGTATATTTTGTTTCATTAGAACTACTTTGACTAACAATCAACTACTTACTAATATATTCTTTACGTGATACAATAGCATAACCATAAATATCTACTTTCAATATGAATCTAAATTTTGACAGCATCATTTTGTGTCTAAAATATATTTTAATAGAGTAATTGTTTATTAAAATCTTATCGTAACGAAATAAAATATTTTTTTATGGAGAGTGAAAAAAATAGTGTCAAAACCTCATTGCCACCGCACCTCCTCTCTCTCAATATTCCTCTCTAGCACGGCTTGACAGGGAGGCTGTCGTGAGAGGAGAATTAAGGCAGTGCCGTTTTTTTTTTTGGGGGGGGGGGGGGAGCGGTACTGGACGGAACATGGGGGAGGTGGAGAAGGAATGGCCACACCAGAGGTTCTCCTGCTTCGAATCTTGGACATGGGCCTGTTGCTGGGAGACGACAGTGGTGAGCTTTCTAGTGTTTTTCATCTGTTGTTCTTGACTGTTGGGGTTGATTGGTCCTGGATAGTAATCGAATCAATGTAATACCGTGTGTGATGTTTATTGAATCATATATTGGTTCTTGATTTGTTTTTCAATGGGCATTGATTATGGTTATGGATTGGGATGTGTGGAGTTCTTGAATTGTTCTTGAATGGGGATTGATTAGGGTATGGACTGGGATGTGGATCGGATGGCCGCTCGAAGCATCGACTCTTCGAGCTGACCTCCCATTTCTTTGGCTCCTAGAGACACATAAGTGCTACAATAATGGCATCACATCATACGTGTCCAAAGAGAAGTGCCGGTTGAGCAACTGCAGGTACAGATCATGAGAGTTCCCAACTAGCAGTGTGTGGTGTGTTTGTATTCTCAACAAGACATTTCCTCTATCATATCTCTGTCTCTCTCGATCTCTGTCTCAAGACCTCTTACTATGCGGCGAAGAAATATTACATGAATATAATGTACCAAAAGTCTAAAGGGGTATTAATCAAGTCTGACATATGTCTACATGATGTAAACCCTTATGTTATCCTTTCCATTTTCATATATATAATTAATTGAAAAGTTTATGATTGGTTTATTAGGAAACTAGGGGATACACAGTACGCTTTAGTTACTATTGATTATCCCCTCCATAAAAAAAATGGAATTGTACATAACATTCAGATTTTATTCAAAATAATACAATTATAGAGTACTATTTTCTCTGCAATTACATCTCATTTAAATTTCTCCCAACCTTACTCTAACCACCTCTCACTTCTCATTTAGTGAGGGACATCTAAGTTATTTACCTTTCATACTAAGTATATTATCTTTTCAATGCTACAATTGTATTCCTTTTGGATGGAGGGAGTACTTGTTAGAAAACGATAGGCAAATAAACGACAAAGAATAATAGATCAATCACAGAAGACACGAGATTTAACGTGGAAAACCCTCCCAAAGCAGGAGAGAAAAAACCACGAGCACTAGCCAGCAAAATATCTTCACTATATCAGGGTGAGGTTACAACGCCGAACGGTGGCTTACAAGAGGTATGTATGAAGGTGAAACCCTAAAAGATAACGAGCATTTACGGGCCTCCGTTTCGCTCCAGCAGAAGCTGGCCTTTATTATGTGCAAATGAATTTGAATCACAACTCAACGGTACTCACCGGTTCACATAAATTTCAAGAGAAATAATTCCTAAAACAAATAAAATTGTACTCCTAGCTAGTTGCCGAACTTTGACGTGACGCCTATGTACTCCATGTTTCCATGTTAACGGCGGCTGAAGAAATCAATTGAAGATGATATGATGCTTATGCTTCACATTCTTTCCTACTATTATACTGAAGTTATGGTGAGATCAATGTCTCTATCAGCATTAATATATGCTCGCAAGGACAACATAGACCGTTATAATTATTCTTTCACGTTGATTGAAAGGTTAGTTCAAGCCGTATGTCATTATGAAATTTCGCCCCAACTCAACTACGACGCCGTGAACGTCGTCTACTCTTACTTTTCCTCGCACAGTACTTAATCGATATTATTTTGAATATGATATATTTGCTTTCTAGGGACACTTATTCCAAATACTTCCAAGAACCTGTATTTTTCTTTCACCGTGCCTAAATTTCGTGTAGATTTCTTTGGC